TTAGGTCTCATAATGATTACCTTTGAATAGCTCTTTGATCTGGATTGACTGAGAGAGTCTAGTAAGTATTAAGTGAATCCCTTGGAAGTTAGAGTGGATGTCCATTTCTCAATTGTCTAAAGAGTGCATTGGAACCCATTCATGATTTCGACTGAAACTCAATTGTTGAGTCCACCTAGGAACTAATAAAGAGTTTTCCCAAGTCCCAATTGGTGAGTTGGCTCTAAACCCAAATTGTAAGCTCGGTTCTCCAATCTTTTTAGTCAATGTATTCTCAAGATTTGCCTAACAAGTTCATCTAATTTCCTTTCATTTGGGTGAGTTTTTTCTTCGAATATACACATATAAGGTTAAATTCTTCAAATTTCTTCTCAACATAACAACGATCATGCAGTATTTATAGATCTATTACAAAAATATGAGTCATTTATAAATCACAAGTGTAATTTCTCTCTCAAGCAACTACACATAATAATGGTACATTTTGTTGTCCCATTGCCTCTAGCGAGCAAATAAAAATTGTTAGATCCCTTATAAAAGTGTATGATCTCAACAATGATGAACAATTGGAGTCTCTTATCGCTAACCAAACATAAAAAAAAGGCTTGGTAGTTGACTTGCCACATTTTAACAATTCTCTCACCTAAACTTCATCATTTATCTCTCTAACAATCAAACAAATTTTCACTCATGAAATATAAACTCTTACATTTTCCTGCCCCATGCTTCATAAAAATGTCTCATTTGATGACTTAAAGAAGCCAAAACAATGCTTTAATCACATTTATCATGCTCCCCATACTCTCCTCTCTCCTCTCTCCTCTCTCCTCTTTCCTCTCTCCCGTCTCCTCTCTCTCCTCTCTCCCCTCTCTCCTCTCTCCTCTCTCCTCTCTCCTCTCTCCTCTCTCCTCCGCAAAAGAATCTTGCTTTATCTTAAATTATGGATAGCATTATTATATAGCCCGCATAAACAGCTGTAAAGCGCGTTGAGTCATCACCGGAGCGGATAAGCGGGGAGTTTTTTTATGGGTCCATCTGATTTTTTTGGCATAAATAATTATTTAAAAATATCTATTTTTTTAATCTTAACTATTTTAATCAATATAATTAAATTTAATATAAATTATGTCTATCAACTATATTGAATTGATGTTGACGTCCACCACGCATCCAATTAAATTAAAAATACTTCTTTTGAATTTAAATAGATTATTAGTCTTAAAAGTGTTCAATTATTTTGCCTTAAGAAATTCAGGGAAGATGAGCTGCGTGGGGCCCAAATAAAGGTGTGACTGAGCTAAGTCAATTCTTGTGGACATCATCAGCTTAATGTCACCTCCCAAAAGAACCCTTATGTGTGGTGGGCAGCTCAGGACTTAAATATTGTTTTTCGGTCCTACACCTAGCTGATGTGGGACTATTTGTCCGTGACATTCTCCTCCACCCAATCACGTGACGCCCTCGTCACGGATCGGCTCCACCGAGGGTCCCACTGGACCATGGAGAGTCCACACACCTGACAGGCAGTAATCTGCTTTGATACCACTTGCCCACTCTCCAAAGAACTCTTCAGAGAGGAATACTGTTTTTCGGCCCTACACCTACTGATGTGGGACTATTTGTCTGTGACATTAAACTAGCTTCAATTCGACTCATTTATTAATGGGTTAATTTTTTTAAAAAAATAATAAATTTAAAATATGTTTAAAATACATTTGAAAATAAGATTAATTTCTCTAAATTATTAATAATATTTAAAAAATGATAATTTACCTTTTTTTATTAGGTAATTTCTTATTAACTGTCTCATAAATACCTATTAGAGGTATCATTTCATTATAATACTAGCTTAAATTTATATATTTTTTTTGTATCTTTCACCTTAAGCATTTCAAACCGCGAGCCAGCTCGAATTCGTAGAATTAAACTTGAATTCGAGCTCGAACTCGAGCTCAATTAATAAATCAAGTTCAAGCTCAAATCAAAAATGACCAGAGCTCAACTCAACTCATTTACATCTCTAGCCCAAATATGAGAAAAAAAATATATTATGTCCAGAGTTCAGACGCAAGCTGCGCCCGTATAACATCTACGATCCACCAAAAATAGCGAAGGAGAAAAAAAAAAAAAATCTCCGGCACATTACAATAATCGTCGCGTCCAGACTTCCAATGTAATATTTTTTTCCAAATATGAAGCTTTGAGTAAAGTTAAAAGTAGAACATTCTCAATTAGGGTGGAGGCTCAATCATTGCCAAAGAGGGTCCTTGTCCAATTCAGATGGTCCAAACTGATATAACATGCTCCAAAATAATGGACTCAACTATTTATCTGAGATATTTATACTAATTTAAGGATACAATAATAAAATTTGCATATAATTATATAAATTATGACAACCCGTAATCACAATTAAACATTTTCATAATAAGTATTAACCACGTGTTATATATTTAAGAGGACTAAGAAAATACACTATCATACTTAGTTTTAACTAATGATGTAATTAAACCAAGCCGATCGTTAGCGAGCACAAGCTCTTCGATAAATGGCTCATCTCATGAGCCAAATCTATTAAATTCTTTTCCTGAATATCCCTATTGGAATTGTTAAACACTGCTCTTTTCTTAGGCTTCGTTTAAGGAAGCTTCACCTTTCATAAAAAGTGTCTTTAAACTAAACTTTAACATAAGTAGTGATATAAAGTTGCAACTATTAAGGGTCTGTTTGGGGCAGCTAGTGTGTTTCAGGATAAGCAGCTTATCTTGAACCGCGGCCCGCGGGCCGACCACGCGGTCCTCAGGGGTTGACCCGCGGCCTGCGTTTAATGTAAAAATCCAAACGCAGTTTCAGATAAGCTGGTGAAACACGCGAACCAAACAGTACGACGACGTTTTGAAAACGCCGCCCGCACTTATAAGCTGCCCTAAACGGACCCTAAGTCTCTATTTGGGCCAGCTGCAGCTTCTTAGCTTTTCAGTTGCAACTGTGCTGCCCCAGCAAGTTGCTGCGGGAAAGCTGACTGTCTGTTTGGTGCAGCTGCATGAAACTAGCAATCAGACAGCTTTTTCTAGAAAAAAGACTATACTGCCCCTATTTAGTAAAACTATTTAAAAGAAGACCGTGACAATCACAATTTTGAAATTTCAAGTTTTTGTTACAATCCCTTTGCTTGAAGCTTTATTTGCAAATATCTACAGCTTCGATATTGAGATGGGGAAACTTCAAATAAAGAAAAAGAAAATTAATTCATGCGGCCAACCCTATATATAAAATACGGGGATAGAACATTAACCACAGAGTTCATGTCCCTCACAAATAATCATTAATGGTGATCAAATCCAGAGCACCAATCTTTCCTTTATGGGTGTCACAGGAGTGCCCTTATTCTTAGTGATCTCCTCATCATGTCGAAGCACCCGTCCATATAAACCTGGATTGGCCTCTTCCTCCTCCTACCAGACAACTGAAACCTAGAAAGCAGTGACGGAAGCGTCGGCCCATGGTCAATGTGTAGAGGCGCTGAGCACGAAAGTGACAAGAAGCATTGACGTCACGTAGCGAGAACGCGCGAACTTCTCCAAAATATCGCGACAGCCGCTTCCACGGTCATCGTTGGAACCCATAAGCCTTCCTCCTCGCCCTCTCAGGATCGCGAGGGTATTACGTAATATTAGGACAAGAACGCAGGGCTGCGGGGTCTATCCTGCAACCTGCTTTTTCGTTAAAATGCGAAAACTTTCACCGCGATGTTTTGACACCGCCTCTCCAAACTACGCTAAATCGTGTCTGCCTTCCGCGCCGCTCCTCGATCGTTGCCCCAAACGAAGCCTAAATGTGATAATCTGTTTGATTAATAGTAACATTTCAAACACAAAAAGATTAAAATACTCTCTCATTTATGAACATACGGGATTGCAACCTCCCTACAATCTCGAAAATCCCCACCCAACCTTCTCATCCATGGCTGGAGTAAGTGAGGGGTTTTAACAGTAGAGAGTTTTTGGCCAAGGAGGAGAAAAATTGGAGTTTCGATTTCCTGTATGCCACAAGCCTGGTGTTAACTTCCTAGTGGTTGGAGGTCCAATGAGAGGAAGGAGAAAGTAGGCAGAAGCAGTAGAAAGCAATGGAAGATGGGGTTTCAGTTCTCTATATGTCGAATCTTTGAAGCTTTAACGGTGGTAAGACTTCCGACAGCGAGGGTTAGGGTTTACGTTCAGCAACAATGCTATCGAAATTTGAGCTTTGACTGTAGATTGCGACGACAATGAGATTACTGCAGAGGATGGATGACATTTTGGACAAGTTCATTTTGAAACTACGGAATAGAGCGATATGACAGATGAAGCTATAGAGATGTTGTGATCTGAGACGACGAGAAAATGATATTTCGTTCAACGAACTTTCGACGATGTTGTTGTACAAAACGAAGACTATGCATTTTGTCCACATTCTCTGGATGGAAATAGGGTTGTACTGTGGTGTCAAACAAGGCCTTAGTTGGTGTTGATGTTTTGTTTCTCTCTTTTGTAACTTTTTCTTTTGTGTTTATTGATATCACACTTTCTTGTTTAACAATGAGTAACAATGTTATCAAAGTTTGAGCTCTGACTGTAGATTGGCGGCGACAATAAGATTACTGCAGAAGATGAATGCCATCTTGGACAATTTCATTTGTGAAACAACGTAATAGAGTGATATAACAAGCGATGCTACAGAGATGTTTTGATCCGAAACGACGAGAATCGGCAACATGTAACATTTACATTAATTAATGATGTAAATTTCAAATTCGATCAAATTGATCGAATTCTAAATACAACCAAATTATACTAACGGGTAAATTTTAAATTCATTCATATTTATGTTTTATTTTTAATTCTTTAATCACCACATTTAATTTCGTAATATCCCTCTAAAAGAATTACACTATTGCTATTTCTTTTAACACAACACTCGACTTCGGCTCGACGGTAGCGTGATTTGCGGAACACCGGATCGTCAACGCTACACCAATGCGGATCATCTCGTTATTATTCACAAAGTTGAGGGGTTGGACGCAAAAAAACCAAAAACAGGCTTATCCAAACCCTGCACTTCTTTTCTATAAATCGCACTGGAGCCGGCCGGCCAACCCTAGATCAGGGATGAAGAAAACTTACCTATTTCTTACACCCCCGCCGGCAACCACCCCCGCCGGCGACGACGACTTCGAGGAATCCGACGTCTGGGGTTTCGGACCGGATTCACGGCCCGAAGATCGCCGAATGCCGATCCCGATCCGCCGATCGAGCCGAAAGAAAGCGGAAAAGGGGGATCGATCTAGCGGAGACGCGGCTGCTCCGGCCTCTCTTCCGCTGAAGAACATACCGGACTGGTCGAAGATCCTGAAGGAGGAGAGCCGCGCTGTTGTAACCCTAGGAAGGGGAAGCCAGCTGTTCGACGAGAGTGATGAGGAGGTGATGGTGAGTGGATCGGTGATTCCGCCGCACGAGCTGCTGTGGAGGAGACGGGAAGCGTCCTTCTCGGTGCAGGAGGGACTCGGGAGGACATTGAAAGGCCGCGATCTTAGCCGCGTGCGGGATGCGATTTGGCTGAGGACCGGATTTGAGGACTGATCTCGGCCGCCGCCGGCGACCGGCGATCGGCGATTCCCCTCTTCTTTTTATTTTTATAATTTGTTGGGCTGATTTTTTTTTAATTTTGTGATTTTATGGATTGGTGAAGAGATTGGGTCAGTTTATCGAAAAATTATTCGGATCGGACAGCTCATGCATCTTGCATGCGGTGTCTGATCCTGATCGTAAATTTATTCGGATCGGACAGCTCATGCATCTTGCATCTTGCATGCGGTGTCTGATCCTGATCGTAAATCAGGTGATTTAAGGTATCAGGTGATTTAAGATCAAATGTATTTCGGTGGGCTCCATCTAAATTTTTTTTAAAAAAAATCGAAAATATTCCTAACTGTGATCTACGGTTAGGATCGGACACCGCATTCAGAGATGCATGCGATGTCCGTATGCAATAATTTCTCCGATTTATGAGACCTATTTTAATTGAGATGATTTATGAAATTTATTTTTTATATTTTTAAATTGACACTAAGTATATAATTTTAATTAATAAAAATTTTTAAAAATGATAAATATTTATTATAAATTTCTAATGGAACGATAAATAATTTATATATAATTAACAAAATAAATACCATAAAGAATTTAATGCATTAATTCTGAAGATTTATTTGATATTTTTGCAATTAATTAATTTATTTATTTTCCCATGGATATTTTTGCAATGGTCGTTAGGTCGCCGGTCAGGCGTCAGCTGCTCGGATTTCACGCAAGTGATGCGTAAATGTCACAATTATTAGGGTTATTTTCTTACACAGTGCTGATTGTAATTGTTGATTAAGAGTGGACGGGAATGGAAAATTATATGGACATAATTATGGGGGGGGGGTGAAATAGACATATACGTGTGCGGTCGGTCAATAAAAATTCTATCTTTATCAAAAATATATGTGCGTGAACTTACTTTTAAAATTATTTTTTTATATAAATTTTTTTTTTCATTGGACGACGCACGCGAGATGCGTGCGCCGTCCGCACGCAATAATCACTCGCGGAATTGGCCGAAAAGAAAAGGCAACTTGGTTTTGATTCGTTGGTTGAGTTGAATGGGAAGTGGTTTGAATTTTATTTATAGATTTTTTAATTGTTTTTTTTGGCTTGTTTTAACTTAAAAGAAATAATTAATTATATTTAGTTTTTTAAGATAATAAAATTAGTTGTTGGAATTATAAAAGTATTAAAATTTATCTTGATATTTAATCAAAGGTTAGAAGAGACCATTGGATTCAAATCAATGGCTAGGATTATAGTTAATTTGACTTTGAGGCTTCCACATCAACTCGCTCGCCACTTACTCCTTCGTACATTAATAGGCGAGAACTCACGTATATTTATCGAGGTAGTGACAACTATATCCAATTAGCTTAAATTCAAGTGAAGAAAGAGTGATCTAGGAGATTCTAATCTTAAATAATAAGTTGTAAGTCATGCTCAAATTAAAGCTTAAATAATAACCCAAATATTAGGTTTGATATTAATCCTCATATTCTATTGATTGTATGAAGCAACATTTTTTGTTTAAAGGATATATGGGGAGCTACATTCTGTTGTGGTATATTTAATTAAAACAATCGACGACGAAATAAAAAATAGAACGATAAAAAATTAACACCAAAAGAACACACAGATTTACATGGTTCGACAAATTGTCTATATCCACGGAGTTGTAGAGGATTTTACTAATTGTGGAATTACACCGTTTGATAACGTCGATAATTACAGGATCTCTCACTTGCTCTCTCTCTCTTTACGCCGAGATTCACCCAAGAGCAAGAACACCGAAGAAGAAGAAATACGTACAAGAGAAAAAAACCTATTTCTCTTCTGCTCCAAACCAACAAGAAGAAATCTAGAAGAGCAATTATCTTCTTCAACCATTTTCTTTTTTCTTCTGTCAAACATGCAAAAGCAACTAAGAAAGAGCACCTTGCAAAACACCTGCGTTTTTCTTCCCGTAAACCTCAAGAAGAATCCAAGCAGAGAATCTCCTTTCTTCCTGCCTTTACCAGTGAGCAAGAACTCCTTAAGCGGAGAGTTCTACAGTTTCGCAATTCAAGGAGGCGAGTCTCTGTTTCGCGAGAGACGGGAGTTTCACGAATTTTGGGAGAGGCGGAGACGTGAGAACTGTTTTTTGCGAATCAGATGGGAGCATAAGGGTTTCACACGTAAGAAGGCAGGAGGAGCAGAGAGCAGTTACTCATATATATATATATATATATATATATATATATATTTGTCAATATATCAACAAGGTTTTGGCTTCCACAAATTTTCTCAAGTAACAACTGTATGTCATCCAACAATGATCATATGAAGTGATACCTGATCTGAATGTGCTTAGTCATAGACTGAAATGCTGGATTTCTGGTAAGGAATATGACGCTTTGACTATCACTGTAGAGAATGCCCTTCTGATTCTTCTTGAAGGCCTATAGTTATATCTTCTCCTTTGCATTCTCTAACACTGCTATGTACTCAGCTTCTGTAGTAGACAATGAAATTGTCTTCTGCAGATTAGATCCCCATGATATTGCAGTGCCACCAATAATATAAATATAGTCTGTAGTACTTCTACTGGTATCAATGTCTCCAATTAGATCAGCATCAACATAACCCTGTACCTCTGAACTTTTTTCTAAGAAACACAAGCAAGTTTCTGCAGAGCCCCTTAGGTACCTCAAGATCCACTTTACTGCTTCCCAATGTTCCTTTCATGGATTACTCATGTATTTGCTAACCATAACATACATAAGTGAACCAATAACTGAAGCATAAGAAATCTTACTCATGTGATCTCGTTCCTCCTCTAACTTGGCTGATTGATTCTTGTTGAGTCTGAAGTAACTTCCCAAGGGTGTGTCAACTGGTTTAGCCTTATCCATGTTGAACCTGCTAAGTATCTTTTTCACATACTCAGCATGAGAGAGTCTCAACATGCCTCTAACTCTATCTCTGACAATTCTCATACCAAGGATTTTCTTTGCCGCTCTCAAATCCTTCATTGCAAAGTGCCCCTGCAATAAGCATATCATCCACATACAATAGTTGGATGATATAAGAATTGTCAAAATACCTGACATAACAACAGTGATATGTCTGACATATGTTGTACCTTGCATTGTGCATGAAATTATCAAATTTTTTGTACCACTGTCTAGGAGCTTGCTTCAGGCCATACAAGCTCTTTGTCAATCTTCAAACTAACTATTCATTTCCTTGTACCACAAACCCTTCAGGTTGGTGCATGCAGATGTCTTCTTCAAGATCCCCATGATCATGAAGAAATGTTGTCTTCACATCTAACTACTCAAGGAAGAGATCTTCAGTAGTCACCATAGACAGTATCATTCTGATCATTCTGATGGTTGTAAGTTGATGATTGTAAGCTTCATCACATGCGAGAAAATCTCTGAATAATCAATATCATGCTTCTGCTGAAAACCCTTTACAACAAGTCTAGTTTACTGTCATCATGTTCAATCTTCACCCAGTATATACCCACTTGTTGTAATGCCTTCTTCCCAGATGAAAGATCTGCCAACTCCCAAGTCTGATTTTATAGCAAATAATCCATTTCCTCCTTCATGGCTAGCTCCCACGTGCTCGAATTTTCATCTTACAAGGTTTCTTCATAACTCTGAGGTTCTTCATCATCTGTCAACAAAATGTAGTTCAAAGTTGAAGAATAACACTGTGGAAAATGTCTAGCCCTTTCTGACCTGTGAACTGCAACTGTAGGAGTAGATTGCTCTGAAACTGACTGAGGAACAATGAGAGTGGATGCCCTAGATCCACTCTCCTCGTCACTTGCATCTCTGCACTGCATTGTGACCTCTGGTAATTCATCAAATCTTACTAACTCAGATTCCTGCAGTGTTGTTTTAGAAAATGTATTGGACTTGTCCTTGTACATAACATTCTCATTGAAAATCACATTTCTGCTCCTTATGATCATATGACCCTGATCATCCCAGAAACAACATCCAAATTTCTTATCTCCATAATCAATGAAATAACACTTCTTTGACTTAGCCTCAAGCTTACTTCAAGCATCTGGATTAGTGAGAATATAAGAAATACATCCAAAAGTCTTAAGGTGAAAAATATTGATCTCTTTCCCACTCGAGACTTATTCAGGTAATTCACAGTTTAATGGAACAGATGACCCCCTGTTGATCAAATAAGCTATAATGCTGTCCGCTTCTGCCCATAAAGTAGGTGGTAGTCTGGCGTGTAATCTCATGCTTCTAGCCCACTCATTAATGGTCTTATTCATGCACTCTGCAATACCATTTTGTTGTGGTGTCCCTGGAGTGGTCTTCTCCATTCTGATTCCCTAGGCTGCACAATACTCCTTGAACCCACCATCAATGTACTCAACACCATTATCTGACCTCACACATTTCAGCTTTAAGCATGTCTTTGTCTCAATCATGACCTTTCAAGTCTTGAACACATTGAATACATCAGATTTATATTTCAAGAAATAAACCAATATCTTTCTGCTATGATCATTAATGAATGTGATGTAGTAAGGAGAGCCTCCAAGAGATGTCACAGGAGAAAGACCCCACATATATGTGTGTACAAGCTCCAACTTTCCTGCACACCTCCTCAGTCAAAATCAAATCATGAATATCTTCATATTTTAAGCTCATGATAGCCATCCTCATAGCTTCCCAGCTATTTGACAATGAAGCCAACAAGATCAGTGCACGCATCTCATCATCAAATTCAATTTCCACAAACGATAATTGATTTGTGATATTATTAAAATTATTCATGTGTTGTACAAAAGACGTACCTTTCACCATCTTCAAATGGAATAATTTCTTCATCAAATGTACCTTGTTATTCGCCGATGACTTTTCATACATACCTGACAGGACTGTCATAAGATCTGCAATCGTCTTCTCCTTGACGACATTGTGTGCAACAAAACTTGATAGTGTCAATTGAACAACCCCAAGAACCTTTCGATCCAACAAATTTCATTCAGCTTCAGCTTCATCCATACTTTCAGGTCTTTTCCCCAATAACTGAAGATGTAGTTTCTTCACATAAAGGTAGTCCTCTATCTGCATCCTCCAATAACTGAAATTTGTGCCATCAAATTTCTCGATCCCTGAAACCTTCACTTCAGCTGCAGCCATTGGCTTTGATACAA